CCCTCTCTCTCTCTCTCTCTCTCTCTCTCTCTCTCTCTCTCTCTCTCTCTCTTTTTCGCTTTCTTTATTTCCCTCTCCCCCCTCTCTCCCTCCCGATAAATAGGCAGTGTATATGTCCACGCGTGTGGTTGTGCTTGTATGTGTGCGCGCGCTTGTGTGTATGTTTGTGTGAGTGTGTGTGTGTGTGTGTTTGTGTGTGTGTGTTTGTGTGAGTGTGAGTGTGTGTGTGCGTGTGTGTGAGAGAGAGGATAAGTACAAGGTTCGATGATTGAATCAACTAATCATCAGACGGGTAGATTAACCAGAAAATGAATATATTAGTGGACAGGGAAATGGGTGGTTCCCAAAACAAAACCAAAAAAATGGTTCCAGAAGTTAACTAAAAAGATTATCAAACACGCCGGTGTTTAACCCTATCTGTACGTCGTGTTTTACTATTGTATCCATACGACGTGGGGAACTCTGTGCCACCATTTCCCAAAGAGGAAATTTACTCGTTAATTCGATCCGTACGCTTTTCATAGCAGTCTGTCAAAATGATTTTTTGAGAAATACTGAAAGTTTCAAAGAGATCTTCATACTAGAAATATTCTGCTTCGGGGGTACAAAATGACCCCAGGGCGTATGGATAGGGTTAAACACCCAGCGTTTGCCTCCCGGAACACAAAACTCGGACTCTACTCCCAAAAAGTCCGTCGTAGAACATTTTATTTTAATCGTACCCTGAACAGACCGAAGGCTGGTACCCAAATGGCCGCTGGATCGGAAAAGTAAAGTAAAATCGTCCCGGGAGCCAGCCACGGTGTTCCTGGGGCTTCTATATCTGGCTGTTGCCGGTGTGTTCGTCATTCAATCCCCGCGCCCGTACAAAAGACAATGCGGCCTCTCCGTGATCGGTGACATCCCTGACAGCTTGCCATTATCTTCAAGGTGGATTAAGCGGCACCCAAACGGCTTTGAATAAAGCTCAGTGCACTAGATCCACCTGAACGCCGGGGGGAACCGGCCCGGGAACTCCTTCAAACTGCGCAGTAAACATGGCGCGCCCCACAACATTCGCAAAATAAAATATTTTTATATAGCTGTTTGTTTGCTTGTGAAACCAAAGTTATGTAAAAAAAAAGAAAGAAAAAAAAAGAAAGAAAAGAAAAAAGGGGGGGAAAGGAATCGAGTTATGATCAGGGTAAGCCGTTATTTGTAAACTGTTTTTTCCCCTTGTTTTCGGTTTTGTTTCGTGTTGCTTTGTTTTGTTTCTGTTTTTGGTTTTTTGTGGGTTTTTTGTGTCTTTCTTTGGGAGTCTTTTTCGGCTTCTATTTTATTTTATTATTTTTGTAAAATTAATTTAGAGTCTACACATGTCGTATCCTTCAACTACCTTTATTTCCAATCGGAGCAATAGAAGATAATTTTCCCTACGTGGGTGATCCCCACCACCCTCTAAAATCATAAAATCACCCACTAATAGGCTATATTGCCCAGGTTGGCTAACACTGGTAGAGATAAACTTTGTATAAGTCACAGAGGCACGTTTCATAATAAACAAGGAAAATCGAAGTAAAGACAGGAATTGAAGAGGCTAATAATACAACGGGGGAAGGCTGCCGGGTGGACCTGTTAATAAATCAATGATTGTTAAGGTCAGGTCATTCTGCTTCAAATTTTTTTATGGCTACCTGATGACCTATTTCAAGACGAGCTGCTAACCGACTTTGAATGACCGGGTTACGAAGAGTGGTTTATGTTGGGGATGTTTTTCATCCGATTGACACTATTTAGGTAATATAGGAGGCAAGCCTACCCTTCCCGCCCGGGCCAATCTGGGCAGAGAGGAATGCACATCCCAGCGGAAAGACGGAGATACTCAATAAATTTTATCCCAACACGGGAATCGAACTTAAGTCTACTGCGTGCGACGGTGAAGCACCTAACTAATCACTACATCACAGGCGCCAGTGTTGAGAATTAAAGCCTCCTCCTTTCTAAAGATTTCCATCAGCAGAGGTTCAACATATTAGTTCGATTTCGATTACAAATTGCGAGTGGGTTGTTGACCGATGCTCCATTGTGGTTTGCTCCCTCTTTCCTATCAAACTTCTATCGTCCTTATCTACCCTCCTTCTTTTTTGTGTTTGTTACTCTTTTGTTACACCCCTTGTCTTCTGCACATATATGACCTTATTGTGTTGGAAATGCTGTAAAATTCTTACTAAGACTAAAGACACAAATAACGAAATTAGCTTTCAAAAAATTCATTCCACCCGGGGCAGTGCCACTGCCTGTAGTGTCTTTAGGCCATTCCCAAAGGGAGGACATTTCTCGTTCAAGCACAGTAGAATTGTAAATGGGCTGATTCATGTCACGCTCATAACTGTACCTGATCTAAAACAGGGAACTACTGCTTTTTCTTTCCTAATCCTTACTATTGTCATTTTCTTCTACTTCTTTCTTTTGTATGTTTGTCACTCCCTTGTAACCTGCTATTCCTGGGGTGCCTTGATAGTTGAAGCAGACCTTGTGCTGTTGAAGCTAGAGAGGTGAGCAGAGTAAGTCTGATTCCCTGTAAAGACTTCTCTGTTGACACTCACCCCTTGGCGCTCATATGACCTTTTGCAGTTGCAAGCACCTTAAAACCCTCAACTATAATAATAATAAAAAGAATTCATCCGTTCTTTCCTATTCAAGATATGGTCAAGAGGGGCCAGGGTACACTCGACAGACATCCTGGGCAGTTAGGTGGGAACAATAAATCAATTTCCCAATTTTATCAGTATCTACAAACAGAAGACGAACTTTTTAGGACAAAATTACCCCCCCCTCCCCCACTTCTTAAAATAGTTAAAGCGACTCTGTAAAGAGAAGTAGTCATTTTTCGGACAAAAATAACCCGACAACGGATATACAATGCATACTAAGTCACGTAAATACCGAATAGAAGAAAAAGGTTTATATTTACCGCCAAGGAGAATGCAAGCCAAATAAACTTGATT